GTGTGTGTGTGTTTATTATTTCTGATTTTTTCCTCCCCCCCCCCTCCAGTGGAGGACACTTTCACCGGGCTGGACTTCTTCCACGAGAGCCTCCCTTCAGGGCGAGAGGGCGGGGAGGACCTGCTGGCCTTCAACCAGGAGGAGATCCTCCACGTGGATTGGGCCCGGAAGGAGAACGTCTGGAGGCTGCCAGAGATCGGGAGCAGCAGCTCTTACGAGACTCAAGGGGCCCTGGGCAACATCGCCATCATGAAGAACAACCTGGAGATCATGAGGAAGCGCAGCAACTGGACCCGCGCCCAGAACGGTACCAAGAAAGGAGGATCCTTCTCCCCCCCCTTTGGCTGGACACAGCCCTTCCCCCCACTGGAAAATCCCCCCCCAATTCATCACATGCCTCAGAGACACCCATCCAAAGGGCAGAGATCTGTTGACTTGACAGACACCCCATCACAGTAATTTAGTCATCAGTGGTCCTGTGAATGTGTGTGCAGAGCTGGGCTGGAGGGGGGAGTCCCACCCCTGGTCTGAAAGGGGGAGAAGCCCTCCACCCACAACAGGCCTCATGCTCAGCCTAGCCATCTACTCACCCCCTCCACCATCATCCACCCATGTTATTAGACCCATGAGCCAGGTCAGGGAATGCTATCACCTCAGTTTGCCCCCCACAGCCACTTCAATGACCCCCCCAACCCCAGCTGCTTTAAACAAGAGAAAGTCCTTCTAGAATTGCAATGGAGGGGTGCACAATAGTTCTCTGGTTTGCCCGGATCTTTCCCCAGAGTCCAACACCTCTGTGAGAAATCCCAGGGCAGGATAAATCCTTTCAGGACCTTCCAGCTGGCTCAGCACAAGCAGCTGAACAGGACAAAACGGAGGCTGCTCCCTTCCGACACTTGCTGAAAATGGAGCCACAGGGAATATCAGCCTTGCGAAGACCTCCAGGGGGTGGGGGAGGGAGGGGAAGGGGCGGCTGCCAATGGTGTCCAGGGACCAGGAGGATTATTGGGGGTGATGGAGAGGGGGGAGGAATCAAGGCTCAAAATTCTCCACGAAGAAAGTCACTGACGTTGTCCATCTTTCTCAGTGGCTCCTTCAGCTACTGTGTACCCCGAAGACCACGTGGAACTGGGGCACCCCAACGTGCTCATCTGCTTTGTGGACCAGTTCTCCCCCCCAGTGCTGAACATCACCTGGCTGAAGAACGGGCAGGTGGTCTCCCAAGGAGTGCAGGAGACGGGCTTCTATTCCAGCGTGGACTACACTTTCCGCAAGTTCTCCTACCTGGCCTTTGTCCCGCAGGAGAGGGACGTCTACGCCTGCCAGGTGGACCACTGGGGCCTCCCAGGGAGCCTGACCCGCCTCTGGTGTAAGCAGGATTGGGGCCCCTCTTGATTCTGTCCTGGAAAGATCCAGCCATTTCTTGCCTATCAGGCATGCTTGCATTATGACAAGATTTTGTTCTGTTGTGCCCAAGGGATCTATAACTCTGCCCTCACCCCAGATCTTGCTCTCTCGGGCAGGCTATAAATGCTTTAAATAAGTAGAATTTAAAAAGTGGTGAAGGAGAAGACAGAGCTATGTAGACCTTATTCCACTGTCTTAGCTTTGTTGAAGTATTGTTGTTCATCGTCATTTTCAAGTTTATCTTAAGATCTAGTGACTTACCTCTATTTAAAAAAATAATTGGTTCATATAAAGATAGTGATCTTTGGAAGTGCCCAATTTGGACCCAATTCATATCTCTGGTCTAGTGTGGTGAACACACAGTCCCGTTCTGGGCATAAATGGCAGATTGTTTATGGAGTATTTTCTGGAAGATTGCGATAAAGAGCCGTTCATGGGCAGAAAGAAGGAGAAAAATGACGTCCAAGATTGATGGGGCAAATGTTCTCTAGATCAGTTCCTGCTGGAGGGAGTCACACAATTCCTGGCTTCTCTCCCCCAATCCTCACCACTGCCACTAACAAGAGAAATGCAAGATGAACTGGTCGTTGCCATATTTTACCCTATTTTTCCCCCTTCCCTCAAATGCAAAAGAGCCGACCCCCGTTGCAGAGACGCCAGAGAACGTGCTCTGTGGCCTGGGCTTGGCCATTGGCATTCTAGGCATCGTGGTTGGCACCGTCTTCTTCTTCAAAGCCCTGAGGATGAACCACCACCATCCGAGAAGCAGGGCTGGCTTGTGAGTCAAATCCCTTGAAAACTCCTGTTTCTAATTCCGGAATTCAGGAAGTGACCTCACAGGGTGGACGGAGTGCCAGGGAAGGGGGCCTCTGTGACATAGGCCGGAGGGTGGGCTGGTGGGCCTGATTCTGCCTAGTTAAGGCTGGGGCTGTAGTGATGGAAAGCCTGAGTTCTAATCCTGGCTAGACTGCTTTGTGTTCCGGGGAAGAGGAGAGACAGAACCCGGGTCTCCTCCTCAGGAAGGTGAGAACGTAAGGCAGGCCAGGAAGAGACTCGAATGAGAGACCCTGAAAGTATCCTCAGTCGGGCAGGAGGAGGCGCAGGAAGGAAGCAGAAGGCATTTAACAGGGGACAGGCGGGCCTTTCCTGACTCCTAAAACTGCCTGATTTGGGTTCTTTTGACCAGGAGAGGAGGTAGGAAACAAAACTGGGAGGACGCCAGGACAAGCAGCCTTCCTCTTAACAGGTCCCTCTTCTTCCTTTCCAGGTGATCGGGCAACGGAGAGACACCCCTTTTCTGAAGGCCACTCCAGGGAGATCCTCGTGGGTCAGAACCCCCCTCTCTGAGTCAGCCGCAAGGACCCAGTGGTGTCACCCCCATAGCTTTTCCCGGCAGCTTGTTTTGCTTCTTGAGGGGTGAAGGTAGGGCCTGGTGGGGCTCCCCTGAGGTCCCACCCTCACCCACTGGATGCCCCCTCTCTCCACTGTCACCTGGTGCTTCTTCTGCCTCTTTTCCAACCCACAACATTCCCTGTTTTTAACAGCAAAGAGCAGAGGAGCTTTTTTGACCCTGTAAAAGTCCTGTTGTGAGAATATTCCCTTTTTGGAGAGCTAGGAGGGGCCCCTGAGGGTCACTGAGTCCAACCCCCTTGCCATGGCAGGAATTCAATGGGGCAGAGCAGACCCACAACCCTTACCTTGTAAGAATCATGGCTAGAGAAGGCTTAATTCCCATTTTGAATTATTTTTTATTTTTCCAGTTGCAGGTGATGTAGGAGAGGGACCTTAATTTTGAAGAAAGTGCAAACATCTGACATCCCTAGCCAAAATAGCTGCTAAAAAGAAAAACCATCACCCCCCCGGCCCTTTCTTTCCTGCTAAACTTTGACCTCTGCCTCCCGTTTTTTAGTGACAGGATTGCTCACTTCGTCTCCTTGCCCTGTAATGGAAGGAATCCCTTTCCCTTCACTCCCTAGTTCTGTCCCATCTTGCTGTAAGTTCTCCTATGTAAAATCGCTTTTAATTATATTGTTCGTTTTTGTTGTTGTAAGCCGCCTAGAGTAATCTTAATTGATAGGCGGGATAATAAATCAATCAATCAATCAATCAATCAATCAATCAATCAATCAATAAATCCTCAGCTATGTGATTCCTGCCTCTTCCCTTCCCTCAGCCAGCCTCCTCAGGAAGGAGAAGAGAGGCCCGAGTCACAAAGTCTGCACCAAGAAATAATCTCTTTTCTTCTTGAAATCGGTCCCTTGGGATCCATGCAGTTTGTACGCTGTCTTTCTTACCTGCTTTTCAGCAGTACTGTACACAATTTTAATAAACGGTTCATTCAAATGGACTGAGATCAGAAGCTGTTCTTCATGTGGGATCCGTGTAGTCCTAGTGCTGTCTTTCTTACCTGACTTTTTAAAATATGTATAAACAAATTTAATAAACGGTTTGTTCAGATGGATTTGGTTTTTGTTGTTCTTCTTCCTGTTCTTAAGGGTAGCTTAAAGAGTTTGCCACTCCAGAAATGATGTTTATTTCAGGATCTTTCAATCTCTTTGATGGCTGCCTCTTCCCTCAAAGCCCACCATGGGACCAATCGGGGAGGCCTGAAAATCTTCCCGCTCCTGGTCTCCCTTTCTAACTCCTGCGCCAAAGAAGCAAAAAGAAACCAGGGCTCTATCTTTAGACCCCCTTAAGTAGGGTGGCTGTGGAGCTTGCCTGCTTCTAAGGCCCTGCCGATCAAGGTCCGTTGTTGAGTTGGGGGGGGGTGTTACATACAGCACTGATGTTACCTGTCTGTCATGGGTTTGGAGGGAAAGTTCCATCCTATGGGGAGTGGAAGGCGGGACATCAGGAGGAGGGGCTGTACTGTATAAATATGGGATGCCTGTGTGGTGAGAGAACACACTAAGGAGATGCTGAGAGTGAGATGCTGAGAGACACTGGGTGACGAAGCAGCAG